CTTACAATATTAATGCAACTCTGCATGTTGGTTTCCTGTGCTTAAGACTTTATTTTCATGAATATGTAAATTTCATTAAGAACTATTCAGACCCCAGTGTCTGGGGGGTGGGGAGGGGAGGAGAGAAGAGCATCACGTGTAAGGCTGCCAGCTGCCCTGCAGTCTGCACGGAGATGAGATGAGGTCACTGAGTATTTACACAGGGAGAAAAAAAATAGAGGAAATATTGGATCAGCAGGTGATTAAAGAACACAAAGAAAATCAGGATAACAGATTGCTAGAGCCATTGTACATGTGTCAATATCAAACTGCACCTTCAGAGAAAAAGCCAAAATATTTATCCTGAATTAAACTCAACTGGAGTAAGGGTTGCCTTAAACAGTAAATATGTTCTTTTCAAAGGAGATTTCAAAACAATAACTTCATGTGCAAATCACAAAAAGGGTCTCCTCCCTTGTGTGGTCGAGCTATTACTGTAAAGCTGCTCTCCTCAATTCAAGATTAAAATTCCTTTTATCTTTGCCTAGATCTCATCTGCAGTATATTTAACAGAATCAGACATTGAAAGTGACTCACTAACAATTAGGCTTCTGCTTTTGAACAGAGAACTCTTTGAATGTGTATGCAGTAGGAATGTTTTGGGGTTGTTCTTTCTTGCAAGATGAAATTTTTAAAAAGATATGTTTCTCTAAAAGAAAAGGCAAGAAAATCATCCAGTGGCAAAAAAAAAGATGTTTGAATTTCAACTGTACAGAGGGATAATAATGTTCACTACAGAATGTCAAAAGCAGCATCACTGAAAAATCAGATTGGAACAGTGAATTGTATGCAACCTAATTATATTAACAAAGTTACAAAAATCCAGAAGCTTAACAGCTGTTCCATATCTGAGCTGTGGTAAACAGAGCCTCAGCAATCTCTGTCTGAGCCATTCAAGCACCAGACAAAATTCAAAGCTACTTCAGTTGTTTATAGGCTAAAAACACCAAAAAAGTACAAAATCCAGAGCCACTTTCCCATTCTTCCCAACACGGTTAAATATACAGTAAAAAAAACAAACCTACTTACACCCTTTCCCTGATTCTTCACTTCTCATGAACAAAACCCTCTCTCCTTGCACCCAGAGCCCTGTGCTGATGCCACCCACTGACACAGGATAAAGCAGCAGCACAGGGAGCTACCCTGGGACTCAGAGCAGCAGGAAGGGAAGAAAGAGCCAGCCTGACCCACCCTGACCAGGACAGCCTTTCTCTTCCAAGGCAGAGCTGCTATAAGGATTATCTGTATGGTTTACCCAGCCATATGGAGAGAAACTGCAGCACAGTGGTGCTCCTGATTATTTTACAAAAATGCTCAAAAGCTTATCATGTTGAGAGTAAAGACTTGCTCACAAAAATATTTCTAAATCTTCCAAGGGAAAATAAAAACCATCTTCTTCTAAACTTGTGGTACACTCAGCTAAGTAAAAAATTACAAGGAGATTATGTGTTGCAATATTTCAGCTTCCCAGCTTCCTGAGGAAAATTCCAAAACCTGCAAATATGTGTGAGTAAGAGAAATGTGGGAGCAGTGGAGACCAGAACCTCCTGACCTGGGTTCAGGTGCCACAGAGCTTGCAAGGCAGTACCCTGCTAGACTCAGAGCTTGGAGAGGAGATTCTCCAGCTCTCCCAAGGGAGATGGGCTCCCCAATTAACCCAGTTACCCATCCCCAGCAATCTAGATGATGACAGAAATCCAGAAATTATTACTCAGGGCTCCTATACTGAATTATTACAATTGCTCTAGAAGAATTATTTTTCTGTTGCTGAGGATAAAGATTTGATTCCTTTGCAATTTTTTTTAAGATCAGGGAAAACTATAAGGTCCATGACTAATAAAATAGGATTCAGACTCATGATATTCTTTTTCTTTTGGAACTTTATTTATAGTAATAGTCTGAGCATCTAGTTACCCTTTCAACTGTTTATTGAACAAGCTTCTCTTTTTTTACTGATTTATATATATAAAATTCTCTGCTCTGTTTCTTTGCTCCTCTGGTTTTCCCACTTCCTATCAGTCTAACCTATACATTGTTTTTTTGAGCTGAAAGCCCATGGGAAAGAAAAGAGCTTGTCTTTCACAAATATATTTTCCTTTCTAATAAACAGTTTTATTCATTTTCTGTGGCTTTTGGTAAATACAGTGCCCAACTAAAAATTACGCTGTTCTTAATTTTACCACTGATAGATTTTTACAACTTGCAAAAGCAAGTTTAGTCTTGATTAAATAGAGTGTGTTCAAGTATAGATAAGATGCAATCAACTACAACTGGCTGACTGATTAGGTGAAAAATAATAGGGAAGGGAGAGGCTGGCTCACTTTGAATCTTTTTCTTTTTATGAAGAGTACTTTCAATACTGTATAAGCACCAAACTTTTAAGAAAAATTAGAAATCAGAAAATAGAAAACAACCCCTACTCAACAAAAATTCAGCCCAGATTTCTAGTAAACATAACAGATAGTTTAGAAAAAAAATTAAGCCTCAGGTTTATGTACTTGTTCTTTGTAACTAAGTTTCCAACATCCTATCCACAAAATTTGTCAATTCCACCATCCTTTTGTGATGACAGCTACAGCTTACCTATATTTTTTCTAAATTAGAAACAATCATAATGCTTTTCTAGGCACCATTCCTTACCATGCATTACTTTCCCCCCCAGCCTGGGAACAGGATCACAAAGACAGTAGACATCTAATGAAATAACTGTTGCTGCAATGCAATGACATAACTGAGATTAAAATACACAATTCCCAGCTGACTCTCACACATGAGAACAAACCATCATCCTGGACTGATGACTGGATTAGGACAACCATCCCCACTCAAGGTTCTGAGGGATATTATGGGATCGTTTTTATACCATACTCAAGACAGTTGCAACTCCATGAGTAGAAATTGTAGCTTTTGTAAACTTAGAAGAGACTTATTCTATGCAGAAAAAACCACAGAATTTATCATGCACTTCAGCAGTAAGCACACATACTCAAGCAGGAAGGAAGCTCTCCCGTGTAATGAGAAAAATATGCCTACCATAAAATTTTCCTATTAATAAATTTGTATTTTAAAAAATCAAAAGTCTGTTGTAGCTTAGACAAATATTTGTGGTGTTTCCAGACACAATGGTAGTCTTATATACTCACATTGTTCCAGAGACATTTTAGTCATTGTTTGGAAACATTTCTGAGCAAATTTGCAAAGTGGTGAATAGGATGAGCATCTTCATGGCTGAAAGGAAAATGGCAGTCTTTTCCCAGCACTGTTTCAAGTGATCTCAAGATTTGTCTAGTCACTGCAGGAAAGTAATGTCTTTTGACTTCTGCATGCCCCTCAGGAAATCGCTGTGCTACAGACAAGAGGTGTTTGTTCTGGTGAGCATTTTCAGTGTCAAATCACAGATACAGCCAGACAACTGCAGCACTTTAAAAGCACATTTTTCCAATCTCTTAAAATATGCATTCATTAGTGATTATTAGTATAATTAATTAGATAATTACAGTACATTACAGACTGTTATCATTTTAGATGATGGTTAGTAGCAACATCACATTGTTTTATTCTCTTTAATTCCTCTTCTTACTGCTCCTTAACTGGGTGGTGCCCTTAGACATGGCATTGAATAAGGGGGAAAGCATAAACAGTTGTTTCTCCAGAAGCAGCCCTCAGAGGCACCAGCACTCAGAAAACCCTCATGTTCCTCCTGCAAAAGACTGCTGGCAGCAGGGAAGCTGCCTGGGGCACCAGAAATGAAAGCCAATTGGTTTGGACTGGGGTAGACAAGGGAAAAGGATGTGTTTATTCCTCCTCTAAGTCTCTCTGGATATTTGCTTGTAAGCGCCTCTGTGATTCCATCCCACTGAGCAGAATTAGTTCATGTCTTACCTGGCTGTGCAGATTCCAGGATGAAACTGGACTCCTCCATCTCTCCTGCAAAGCTGAGCCAGGCACAAGACACACCAGCCTCAAATTAACTAGTTGTTGTTGTTGTTGTTTGTTATTATTATTATTGCATTTATTTATTCTTTACTATTATTTACAAGAGCTTCCCTTTTCCAGAGGGACTCCTGGCAGTGTGAGCTGAGTCATGAGTGATGTTTGTAGAGATCCTGGTACAACAGTTCAGCAGTCAGTCACACCTGCTGGGAGGTCTCAGGTAAGGAACAGCACAGTGGCATCAGACTCAGGAGGGCAGCTACAGGCACAAACTGCATCCTCCTCCACTGCCTCAAGTTTGGGCTACACTCCTTTATTATAAGTTTTCTTCACAGAATTCACAGATGAAGTAAAATTCACATTTCACAACGGAAACAAATTTCTAGGTGGTTTCCTGAATCTCTTAAAAGAAATTACATATGTAACTATGAAATATCCAGCAGTCCAGAAAAGAAAAACCATCCCAAAATTAGACTTGCTTCTATCCCACTACATCAGTAAAAGTGAATAGCACACAAACCAAATTGCAGCTTTACTGTTCTAGGTTTCCATATATTTCTCCATATGGTAAAAAACTTATCACAAACCTTTTTTCTTTTTCAAAAAAATTTGGCTATATATGAATTTAATAAGTAATGTGAAATGGGCAGTCAGGTGACCTTGAGTCAAGTTCCTCTGAGAGAAGTTGTAAAGTAGTATATAGGACAAAAAATTTTTCTCAGATCTATGAGAAGGTACAAATAATTTACAAGATAATTGGACATTTGGAGCCACTGTGAATGGAACCAGCTGTGATTGATCCAGGATGATCCAGCTAACCCAGTAGCTTATTAGCAATAACAAGAATTCATAGAAATATTAAAAAGTATAATTACTAAAAGCAAATGACCTGTGGAACAGAAAGATTAATCAATAAGACTGATTCCCAAATAAAAGTCAGTGGTTTTTGTGTGGGCCCCTTCTCATCTTTCTGCCCATTTGAGTTCCTGATAAATTAAAATTGTTACCACAAAAAATATGTCTCATACCTGCAGTGTCCCGAATTGTCCCACAGCTCTCCAGAATTCCAGAACTTCACGGTATTTTAAAGTACCTGAAGAAAAAAGGAAAAAAAAAACTGATAAAAAATCTAAAACTGGACTGGAGAAATTCTAAGAGTCTGACAGAAGGGCTCAGGGCACCCCACACAGTCTCTGATGGGAGCAGGTTGAAGAGGTGTTTTTCTGTATGATTTTATCCTCATTTCAGAAGGCAAGGACACTCAGCAATGTCATGAAGAAGCTGTAAGACAGCAGAGCAACATCCCAAGCCATGTCAAGTGTCTTCCATACCATCACACAGAATAAACCTAGGACCAACTTCAATCCAAAGTCTGCTGTGTTGTGGCTGTGTCACTGGCCATTTGGACAGCATTTTCAGAACAGCAAGACTCCTGCTTGATCTTCTCCATCAGTGATAAGGAGGCAGATAAGGGTCCAAAATCCAGACCAAATACAACAACTGGTCTAACCGCAGCCAAGGGCTCTGTTTAGAGCCCTAGGTGAGATTTCCTGGTTTTTAACCAAGAGCATTCTAGTCAATGGAGCTAGAGAAACTCAGTATTTTCTATCTGGTTCCCAGTTCTCCCTGACAGATTTTATTTGTGCTTGCAGTATTGATGATACGTCACACACTTGTACCATAACATCCCAATGTGGTCACTTAAATCACTGTTAGATCTCACAGAAGATTATTTCTCTCTGAGTGGGGCATTGACATTTCTTTGTTAAAGACTCTCACCCTTAGGGGAGTTTCTGTCACCAGAGCTATTAACAGTGATCTGGATCTAAATACTGTGCTGTATTACCTGCATCCAGATGGCATAAAAATGGAAATTACGGTAAGATTAAGACTTGACCTTTGGATGAAAACCATTCTTTCTCTGGTTACTGCCTGAGGTACTCTGAGGTGTTTCTCTCATAATAGCATAAAAGCAAAATGGTGACATGATTAACATCAGAGAAAAAGAGCTTGCCCACAACTTCATGACAGGGGAAGTCAATTTCTGTGCCATTATTCCAATAAATCACAATGTTACTACCTACTCATCCTTTCATAGGTAACATAGCTGGGTGTTACTTCTGCACTCCTGTTTCATCCTGCTCTCCCTAACTTTTTATTTTACATATAAAAAATAAAATATGTCTGTGAGTATATATATGTGATTAACAGATATTTCATATGGCACATTCTGTACATTCTAGAGTTCTAAAATGCACATGCTGTAGTAAAGATAATCCCTTTTCAGTGAAATATTTTATTTTTGATTTAGAGGTAAAGTTTCTGTTACATATTTAGAACAATTTGCTAGGGAGATAAAACTCATCCCTCTTTGAAATGACAGCAGAAAGCATATGTGCCACTTCATTACTACTTCAGTACTCTTTTTTGAGGGGTAACCAGCAGCCAGAGGTATTACAGCAGTTTTCTGCACAGGGTAGGACTGGCAAGGACCTCTTATGAATGCAGGTATGCCTTTCTTGTAATCCCCAGTCTTGCTGTCTCAGGCTGTGCTTTAATTTCCCTTGTGGGCTGAGTTGCAAGTGAATTTGGCTTGAAGAAAAGACTAAGAGAATGTAAATATGAATAAGGTTGTATTCTTTTAGTAAGTGGAGCCATCTGTTGCCACATCTAGAAAAATACTGTCTGTATGGAATCTGCTGCTGATGGTGCTACAAAACAGTCTCATCCACTTCTTTGGTGACATACAATGTTATAAGTTTAATATATTGGTTGTCTGGATTGAATTTGTAGAGGGGATAGGATTTTTTTTGAGGGAAGAAGGGCATCTTCACATGTTGCTGCACATCAGGAGCTTCTTCCCACAGAAATTCTTACACGTCTTTTCATGGGCTCCAGCAGCTGTATACTTCAGTCCAAATTAGGGTTACAAAATTTTATTCCATTACAGAAAAAACTTCTACCAAGTGTATTCAATAAGAGTTTGCCTTACAAGAAGCCAAAAAGGCCAGACTTATGCTGATGTTGCCCCTGCTGCTGTTCTGCCAAAGTTATGAATATACCATTAGTCACATCTGCAGGCAGCATCTGAGACTTAGTATTGCACTACCATATAAGAGGAGTCAAAAAATGTCTGAAGGTACTGCTCAAGATAAGTCTTCTAACAATTTCAATGCTTTTTTTGTGAAGGGGTAAGATGACCATTTGGTTTTTTTCCAATTTATCCATATCAAAATAACAAAGAATCTGCCAAAAATCTGAAAGCTTGTTTTAATAATAAAATATTTATTTTGGCCTACTTGGATAAAATGTGCATGTTTTAATATTTTATTGTTCATAGATCTGGAATCAAAGATCTTCTAACTAAAGAAATGTAATTTTTTTTTATTATTGTAGATACCTTGCACAAGTAACAATATAAAGTCTTAATAACAATGACTGTATTATTAAATCACTTTCTTTTTCTTTTTCAGCCTTTACAAGTCTCCATTTAACTGAGGAAAATCAAATATCTAAAAATATGGCCTTTTATATCTGAACTAATTACACAGTTCATGCTTGATGTTTTCGATTCATTTTATTCATTTAGGTTCAAGCCAATTAGAATTCAGTTAATTTTCCTGAACATCATCTTCTATTTGGTATCACCAGGACCATATAACTGTGATTATCTAGTGGTAAAAACAATTTTTGATTAATCATCGCAGATAAGAGAAACAAATTCAAATGTAAGTTGTTTCTGACACTCCTTCATTTTATTGAAGAGAAGCATATGAAGTCAATTAAATGTATTTAGGCCACTTATCTAGTTAATGTGATTTTCAGAGACCATTTGGTGTATGTGATAATATATAATCAATATAGCCTGCAAGAGCCAATTGAAGCTCTGTACAACACAATTGAGGAGGTCACAGGGATATGCAAGTGTTGGTTTGATTTGGTTAACCTTTTAATGATGTACATCAGTACATCAGCACACCCACCTTGAAGCCAGCTTCACCAGAAAATGTTGTTTTCTGAGCACTGAAAATAACATCAATGCCTTCTGCTAGATTCAGCAGAAACGGTGTTGCTGTTGAACTGTGTTCAAACTGCAACAGTTTGAAAAAAAAATGGAGAATTTCTAGTCCCCCCCTCTCAGAACAGAGGATGATGGTATTAAGACAGCTTATGAGAACTCTTTGAATCTTGTATGAAGAGTTAATAAAAAATCTGTAATTTACTATCAAGCTTAAGAGTATGTTATCTGCTAAGTGATTCTCACAAAAGCTAGTCAATCCTTCTCATCAGGGCTGCAATTTTACAAAGGGCTACTCATCTGACCCATTTAAACACATCAGTCTTGTTCCTTTCCTCTTCTTTATTTTCAGGTACCATTTTAGAGCTTTACACTCCCTCACTGTTCAAAAAATCAGGTGACTTTTTTGAAGCCAAATTTTTGAACAGAAATTTGTCAGAAATTAAGGACCTGCCAGGTTACAAATCCGGACAACACATTCTGCTGGACCATATTAAATAAAGACATTTGCCAAAAAAGATGGAGGAAACTAATGGAGTGTCAAGCTCATTAATGTTGGACCAGCACTGAAGATTGATATTGTCATGTTCAACTTTGTATTAGCAGCATCCATTATTCAATAAATTATTAAATTAATAGACAGATGGTAACAATGGGTGTATGTCCTCATTTAATTAATTGATGAGAAGGAACAGAACTTATGGTCATCTTATGTCTATAGATTTAATAATTTATAGAATAATAATTTATCGATTCCCCACTATTTCTACAGGAGATAGAATTCTATTTCAATAACCATCCATTCTTGTCGGAAGCTGTTATTACCAGGCTCTCTGGTGGCTGCACATGAACTAATTGCAAGATGGACTAATCCTTCTGCAGCTTCATTCTAAATGCTGGGACTGGAAGGCATTAAAAAAAAAAATCCCACCAAAAAGCCCTCAGTACTGAAATAGCCTTACAGCAGCACAGTCACAAAATTGACCTCTAAAAAAGTGAATGGATAAAGGGAGTAAACATATGTTTCATTACTTTGAACAGAACTCATTTGCCTCTTGTTGATTAATTGAGCTTTTCTAATTGAATAAAGTGAAGATTTAAAAAAAAATGTATTTTTGATAGGCATTATCACAAGTGGAATAAAAACTCTTTTCTAATTAAAAATATTCTTTTTATATTTGGTCCTATGGGTTACATTGCAATATACTTTGAAATGGCATCAAATATGCAAAATGGGAAATACTCATTGCAATTATTCATATATAATAGTAATTTTCCTACTTCTGAATTTTATTATTCGAGTTATGATAGGTTCTCTGAAGACAAATGACACCTCTCCTGTCTTTCACTTTATAGAACAGTCTGAAAACCTAGCTAAAATTTACAATATTTTTGATTTAATTATACATTTTGCCTGTACTATTTTTGGGAGTTATTTTGGGCACTATCTTAAGTGACAAGATTTTGCTGGTTGCCATTTTCAGACTACCTCTATGAATCTGTAGGGACAATACAAGCTGGAAGACTGAATGAAACAGTTGGTTTTCTGTCCACATATACAGTCCCTCCAGAAAAAATATCACAGCAGCACTCTGAAGTTTCCTCAGAAAAAAGACCCCAACTTTTTTTGAAGCTTTCAAAAATAAAAAATTCCTTTTACAAAGCAAGAACGAAGGATGGATTCCCTATGATATTTGGGGGTGATTTAGGCCTAGCAATAGAAGAGAAGCGTGGCAGGGCATGGCTAAGGGATGTTCCATGAGATATCATAGTTTAGACTAAGCCTTGCTATTATTCACCTGGAGAAAGTTAATTAAGACTTTGGTGGATTTTATATCAAATTTAGATCCCAGCTAAAGTAACTGGAAATATGCTCTTTTAATAGGAAGACACTGGGTGTTAAGCAATGCTAAGGCCAGTCAGAAAGCAGAAAAGGAGAGCAGAAGAAGGCTTATTATATTTTCCTTCACTGCAACTAATTTCTGAACAAAAACTCTGCTCAGCTGGAGTAACTACAGGAGACTCCACAAAAAGAGCAGTTAAAAGCTTAACAGTAGAACCGAAACTCTCCAGAA